ATCATTGTCAACAAATATAAATTTACACAATATGCCTTCCGAACAACCCATAAATCATTTGAGAGATTAAGGCTCACATAAATTCATAGTCACACTATTTCATGTAAGTGCTCGTACGCAAGATACATAGAGTTGCTAGTCAAGTCTAAACGAGTGCCCCCTAAAGTAAATAAAAAAATTAAATTTATTAAAAGAAAATTTATTTATGTGAATCAAGATAGATTACACAGTTTTATACACCTTGACTTGTGTCGCTTGACTTGGATTACACCGTCCTTAGAGCCATTTCATGCTAGCTATGGTCTTGTTTTGACATGTTTCATACCTTAGCACGTAGAATTGGCACCGGGATCAAAATTCGGACAAAAGAGGGTGAAAAGGGAGCAAAATGGGCAAAAGTGAAAGGATCACGACCAGGCGGTGATTATCACAGGCAACAACTGTGAAGTAGAAACCCAAACCGTGAAAACTGCACACTTCTAGGAGTTTTGTGTAGTTCGCATTCACTGCGAGGATCATGGTCCCCAGACCATGATGTTAACACTCAAACCGTAAAGTCTACAATGGTCCATAGCCCTTTGAGTAGTTCGTGGGCATTGTAATTATTACGGTCTCTGAATTGTGAAGCCAGCAACCTGACCATGAAGTATGTTAATGAAACAGTGTGTTTTGAGCAGGCTAGGATGCACTCGGGTAGGGGTCCTACCTACTTTAGCGCTTCTAACAGTATATGAAGCTTATCTATCGCGTTAGAGTATCACAATTGCATCTCAACGTGGGACTAGGGGCATTATCGTCAGAGTGGTCTTTCTCTATTGAATTCAACATCGTTTTAATTGTTTGCTTCCTAAGTTTATTAGCTTTAGCAGCAATCCGATTGCTTGATAACTTGTAGACGGTTGAAGTAAGTGTATATAGATCGTTCGGATTGACATTTAAAATACTTGCTCTATGCTACACAAGGTTATAAATTACACTTGACCTATAACTAGAATTGAGTTGTAGTGGTAGTGGTAGTGTTAGCGAGTGAAAGAACACAATAATTTATTTATATTATAATAGCGCAAGTAATCTTTCATTAATTTTACTGTTCCATACGAAAAATCCGCTAATCCCAAACCCTTTGGAAAACACTGTTCATTATAATATATTAATTTGAGTTATAACTACCATACATCCCATGACGTTAACTACCATATATTGCATTTTTGCATCATCAATTTCATGAATATCTTTATTGTTAACTTAATAATTAGTAAAGTTCATAACTTAATTGCATTATTAACTGTACCATCAATTTGCATTAAGCAAATAATCTTTCATTAATTTTACTGTTCCATACGAAAATTCCGCTAATCCCAAACCCTTTGGAAAACACTGTTCATTATAATTTATTAATTTGAGTTATAACTACCATACATCCCATGACGTTAACTACCATATATTGAATTTTTGCATCATCAATTTCATGAATATCTTTATTGTTAACTTAATAATTAGTAAAGTTCATAACTTAATTGCATTATTAACTGTACCATCAATTTGCATTAAGCAAAGGTTCCGTAAGACAATGTTGCCAAGCGAATTATATCAATCTCATATAACATATGTGTAATAACATATAACATTAACTTGGATCCAATATATAATGAAAATTCAAACACACTCGAATATTCAACTTAGAATTTCAAATAAAGATAGGTTAGGTGAAGGGGAAAAGAGGTGCAATTCGCAAATCAAAAGAAAAAGCGACATTGTGTGACCTCCAACCCTAGAACCTTGCTGTTGGTCGACCAGTAGGTGTATGACCCGTTTTACTCAATGGTCGGGATCAATCTGAGTTAAACTGGGGTTCGACCCACGGGTTAACAACTGTACAGTAGGTAAGTTAAATTCTATATAATAGTTTAATCAGATGTAATACATTATGTAACTTGATTTTATTGTTAGACCCAACATCACAGATAACTTATGTGGCACCAATTTATAAAATTTAGGTGAATTAAAAATATAAGACATCAAACTTATAAAATGATAGTTGTTTATTATGTAACAATTAAACAAACTTTTATTGCATTAACTACAATATTTACCACATAAACAATTTGTTTTACGCAAAGGTTTCGTAAGGTAAATTAACTTTTACATAATAGTTTAATCAAATATGATACTTTTTGAAACTTTGGTTTATTATTAGTCCAAAGATATGAAACGTAACACGGTTCCATAAAAGTTATATAAATTAAAAATAGTACGTCAAACTTATGTAAGGATAGTTATTTCTTATGTATCAATTAAATATAACGTGATATGTTTAAGTCTGTAGTAATGATTAAGAAATTTTGTAAATTTTATGAAAGGATAATTATTTATTATGTATCAAATAAAACAATATATTACATAATCTTCCGTAATATGAGTTTGATTGATTTCAGGGCCTGGCTGCTCTTCAGGATGTAATTATCTTTTTGATTGGATCAATATATGTTATCTTTTGACAAAAAAAAAAGAGTTTGATTGAAAATTTCTTTTTATTAAGTAAATGATTTACCATCTCATTAATTTACATTACACAAAGATTCTATAAGGATTATTTCTAATTAAAATTTATATATTATTAAAAAAATGATTGACCATCTCATCAAACTCCTTTACACAACGATTTTATAAGATTCACATAGCAATTTGATCAAATGTAATATTTTTCATAATTAAATTTTTTTATTAGTAATTAAATTTTTTTAATTATTAACTACAATATCCACCATCCATCAATTTTCATTACACAAATGTATCATAAGGTAATTAACTTTTACATAATAATTAATCAGTGTTACATTTTCTTAACATGGTGTTATTATTAGAATATACATTACATAAAATTTACCTTACACCATTCTATAACTTAAATTTTCTTAAATACAATACATAATTTGAAGGAACAATCATCTCTTATGTATCAATAAAACAAGTATTTTACGTAGATTTTACCGTCGCGAAGCGCGGGCCAAAAAACTAGTAATCCATAATAATAGTTGTTATGTTAAGGGCATAAAATATGATAGGAAAGGAGTCATGTATAAAAACTAAGGGGCAGTTCTAGAACTATTTAGCACCCAAATCTGTGAATCCAAAACCAAATCTTGGAGCTGTTGGGGGATTCTGAAGGGCATCTTGTGGGTGCATTATTGATCACCCCACCATCCCTCCATTAAACTATTCCCTTTTGTTCTCTTGTCTCGTCTTCATAACAAAATATTATTAGTTAGAACTTAATTGAAACATATACTAATCAATAGGCCTTCACATTTACATATATCCATCTGCATGTGGTCGCCAATTATAGCAGCACTAAGTAACACAAAGGATTTGATTAAAAAAGAAATAACATGTCCTAGGGCATTCTCTCTAAAGCAAAGATTCAGCATTGGCTTTCATCAATTATACGTGTACCCCATCGATGCATGTTCGCTTCGCCTCGACCAGTTCCAGCTCTCTGATCCCGATGCGTATTTGTTTAATTATAATTAAGCTTCTCGATCCTAATTTACTGATGATCAAATGAACCGGACCACTTAACTTTTCCCCTACTTAGTTTAATTAAAGCCTACACAATAACTTTGTTTCTTTAACTCATGTATACGAATATCATAGAAGTACGTGATTGAGTTGATAAAACTACTTAATTAATAAGATGATCTAATATTTTGAATAGGATTGAAGAAGATAAAAGGGTTAATATTTGGCCCGAACTTTTCCATCTTTAACAACTTCGGGCAAGATAGTCCGATTCAAATCATATCAAAAAACCTTCATTTTGATTTGAATCCTCTCTTCTGAAATCATTTATGTACTCTGATCTTTCTCTCTCTCATGCCATCAATGCCCCTTATGGCATATTCACCCACTCAGACCATTCCACAAGTTCAAACAGTGTTGGAACTTGTCATGTGAAACTGGCCGACTTCGTGAACATGTTAGTTGGATTGTCCACAGTGTCAATCCTCTTCACCTTAATCCTCTACTCCGTTCTCAAGAAATGATACTTCACATCGATGTACTTAGTCCTCTCGTGATGTACTTGATCCTTGGCCAAACATATTGCACTCAAATTGTCACAATACACCACTGTCTGTTCATGATGTAGACACAAGTCACCAATCAGCCCCAACAACCATATTCCCTCCTTGGCAGATTGTGCCAACGCCATTGTAGTCTGCTTCGGTAGTAGACAATGTCACTATCTACTGGAGAGTTGCTTTCCAACTCACCACAACCTGCAACGGCGTCCAAACGGGTCTACGGGCAACGTCCGTCTGAACGAGTACTATTAGTTCCCGTTGAACTATATTGGTTTGTTTGTACTGGATTGATTTGTTTATGTTTTTTTAAACTAGTATTAGTGTTTTTGAAGTGGTTATGTTTTTTAATGATTTGATTTTTTTTTTAAGAGCGGTTGGTTCGTCTGAACTGGTATTAGTTCGTCTATGTGGAGGCAAAGTAGAGTCAGGAAGAAGAGATGTTGTCAGAGAAGCAGAAAGGTGACTAGAGAACTATCAAAATGATAGAGAGGAAAAGAGAATTTTTTTCATTATGTATTTACAATTGCAAAAGAGTAATTAATTAAAAAATTTAATAAATATTTATTTTTCATACTCTATTTGTCCTTCATGTCACCATTACTAGTAATCATCATATCTGTTCCCCTGCTTATGCACCACCTACTCTAGTATTAAGTAGTTTCATAATGACAATACCACTTACTATAGTTTACCCATTGCCGATTAGAACCAAACAGACACATTAATTACTGCGCATTGCTGTAACATTCCCTTCCACCAGATCGTGGAGAGATCCAAGAAAGAACCCAAACCATAATCGCAAATGAATTAATCAATTAATTAAGCCCTGGAGTGAGTGGTGACCGGTCGCTTTATCTATCTTTACAGCAGAGAAAGCAATTGGAAGAAAATGAACAGAAGCGTTACAACCACAATCCAATGCTTACGTAGCCTGTATTAGAAAACAATATATATATATATGGTGCAGTTGGGATCAATTATTGGTTGATTGGAGGCTTTTTGTGTTCATGGAACTGGAAAGTGTCATTAAACAATAATGTCCCTTCAGTAATAATGGTGCATAGGATTCTAATCTTGGAATGCATATAATATGACTGGTATCGCCTTATAAATGTGCCCAATCGATCCCACATGTCGTTTGTCCTTTTGAAGAAGAAGCCGAGTTATATTCTATTCTGCCAAAAAGGAAGAAAGAAAGAAAGAGAGCAAGTGAAGTGAGAAGTGGTGATCATCAGAAGTGAGAACCTTCTCCCCCACCATCGTCGCAGTCATGTGGGGAGGAAAGTGGGACAATACCATAGTGTAATAACTCTAAATTCAAAACCACCCAAACAATGTCTTAAATAATGTTTGATGCCATACTATAGTATGATGCCCTTTTATGGAAGCAGTTAAAAGAATTGTCAATTTTGATTTTAATTATCCGATTTCATTCGATATATTTTGAGGAGGTATTATACATATCGTGAGTAGCAGTAGATTGGATATGTGTCTCGTAATGAATTGGTATGTTATGTATGTTTTTAACCCATTTTATCTTAATTTTCAGTAATGTTCACTCGTGTCAATATCTGTTATTTTGACTTCTTCATAAACTTATATATGTTTGTGAAAACTTATACTTCCCACACAATTGGGGTTTCTTAGACATGTGTACATCATATGTTTTATTTATAGGGGGTTTCTCTTTGTATTTTCATATTAAATAAAAAAATTGCATATTTTTCTTTTTTACTCATGAAAAAATAGGTTAACCTACTGCCACGATCCATATCCCGTGTGAATATTAGCTGCCCTAATCAATACCTACCCGTACCACTGGAGGGGTAGCAATATGAAGACACCCGCCGCATTATCATTACGGAGAATAAGCGAGTGATTTTTGCCCAGTAATTACTCTTTGCTCAAATTGTCCTAATCTCACACGCTAGATTTGATGTTGCCTTTTGAGATAGTTTTTGTTTATATATCTAGGATATGTTAGGGACATCTACTAGGTTTCTGTGTTTGAGAGTATAACATTTTTTTCGGTAGTCTATATTTGAGATAATAATGATTGATTCTATGTATGAGGTATAGATATTTGTACTAGCTTGTAGTGGAAAAATTATACAGAAAAATGGTATAAATTTTATTCTCAAATTTGTACCTTAATCATAAGTTATTAGAATCAATTTATACTAGTAACCTATTTCCACGACAGAATATTACTTCATAGTAGGGCACGAGAAGCCTCATCCTAGGCGAGAAGACGAAAACCATAGGCAAAATCATAACCTCGTTCTAACTTTTTAGCCCTTTGATTCCATTGCACTGACTACTGACTAGTAAGCTTTTGTGATGGGGGGTTTTGGGCTAAATACAAAGTGTCATTTTCTTAGGCATGAAAGATGAACAGTTTGGTGTGGAAAGAAAGGATCCCCATCAATCAGAGTATGAAATAAGAGATGCAAAACAGAAAGTACAAAGCTTTGTACTAGCTGTAGACATTAGCCATTAAGGGTTAACCAAGATAAGAAGAAGAAAAGCCAAACTCAACCATTGCCCCAGTCCTAGCTAGCTTGTCCTTCAATGGTCAACACCAGAACTACCACCAAGTACCCATCTTCTTTCTTAACTAGAACACATTATTGTTTGAAATCCCTTCACTAATGTACTCAGCAAAATTCAACAATTTTCTTTTACAGAGAGAAGATATCTAATTTTCGACACAAAATATCAGGCCAATTCCTATAGAACAAAATTATGAATATCGGACAACCTCATATCCATAACCTTTCTTGGGTTAACCATCATGCCTTATTTCTTCAACCTTTTAAATAGTTCTCAGCAAAATGGACAATTAGACAAAAAAAATTGTGATCTGATAAATCTGCTAAGGTTACAAGATTCAAAAAAATACAAATGACCAATATGCAACAAAAAACAACAATATACTTGAATTTTATTTACGTCTCATACAAACTAAAATTCAACCAATTACACAAGTTATACTGTACTAGAGTAGAAAAATAATGATTGTGGGAAAACAAGAGAATCTAATTATAAGACGTAAAATATCAAATCACTAATTAAACTCAGAATTAAATCACTAAATCAAACCTCAAACATGGCTAGCTAAAAGTAAGTCGAATCAGCTTATATATAGTAAATATTAAAATTACTAGGTTAAGCAAAGCAGCTAGCCAGCCCTTTGAACGTGACGGCGTACGAAGACGGTATCCAAGTCAGGAGGGACGAAGAACTCCCTCGCGCCGCCGCCGTTGCAATTCCGCTTCAAGCTGGTGGCCCTCCGCTTCCTGGGCGGCGGCGGGCAGGGAAGCCTCGCCGGTATCCTCGCCTCTTCGCTCTTGGGAGTCGTCGGAGATCCGTACGGCTCGTCGTCCACCTCGCCGCAAGCATCTTTCTCCGCCGCCGCCGTCGTGTAGATAGGCTTCAAGGGAGCCCGGAGCGAGATGCCGGAAATTACCCATTTACCGTCCTGAGATTTCTCTGCCGAGAAACCCATTGAAGGACAGAGAAGGAATTCCCGTTTCCTTGATACTGAGGGAAGTTTGCGAGAGTGCAACCAAATATAAGAGAGAAAAGGAATAAGGAATAAAGATCACATATGTGTAAAGAAAGCGGCTTTTTGAGACGTAGAAGAAGAATAAAGATGGAAGCTTGAAGCTTTTTTGTTTCCCAAACTTTGGATAAGAGGAATTTTGCTTTCTTTGGCTTTGGGCCTGAAATTGAAGAAGTCAAGGGAAAAGGGTAGAGTGTTGTGTTAGAGACAGTTGAGTTATGGAGAAGCTTGGGTTTGGGGTTATAAAGATGGAAACTTTTTTTTTGGAAGGGATGGGAGAAAGGAAATTGAAAAGAGGGAATTGAAGAAGGGAGGGGTAAGGCAGAGAGGGAAGTAGGGAGGAAGGGTAAGTTCAATGTTTCTGTTTATACCATTGAGAGAAGAGAGAGAAAGAGAACCCGAGGTGAATGGACAAATCATGGTTTGACACTTGACTTTACACCTAGCAATTATTAATTATAGAAGTTTGGGAATTTTTATGTTTTGTTGGTTTGCACTTTTGAACACTCATCGTCAAGAAAATTCATGTATGTAATTGGAGTTGGGTTTATCTAGGTTAAGCATAATAATTGTGATAAATATGTATAATCAAGACGGAAAAGGCTAGAATTCGAACAATATTCGAGGTATGTAAACTCATATTCTACTAGGATTGTAGCATGTATGCGTGTGCATGTTCATATAGCCTAAACTTTTGTCTACCACACTTATCATTCTATGAAAAAATAAAAGAATATCCTTAATCGTCATCCATGTAAATTTTCACTTGTTCTGTTTCCTAAAAAAAAAATTCTTCTTCGAAGGAGGCTTAAGCCAAACAAAAGAAGGAAGTAGAGGAGAGAAGGCTACTCGATTCCACTCGAAGCTTCGTGTGATGTTTTCGTAGGCGTTTGACTGTTAGGGGCAAAACATTTTTTACGCATAAAATTGGAACAAGTGGCTTCATATTTGGTCTCGCTCCGCCATCACAAAATGTGGTGTGTGCGCGGGGATGTTGTTGGGTAAGAGAGAGAGAGAGAGAGCTAATGACTGGAGCGGGTATTAGGGGGTGTTCAATCGGAGTGCTAATTGTGATAATAACTTTAATTGACAGTATTTGGATAATTTAGTTTGGTTAATTTGGATAATTAGTTTGGTTTAGTTAATTATTTTTCAGTTTGTTTAATTTAGATGGTTTGATTTCACACACTCATTTAAATCAACTAAAAATTAGTTATATGTCTAATATATTATATATATATATATATATATATATACATACATATTTAATATTTTGCATAACCACGATCCAAGCTTTTCTTCCGTCTAGACCCATTAAAAATATAAAGTTCATAATGTTCATATACTGCATTTGTTTTTGTAGAGCGTAGACAACCAGTGGCGGATTCAGGGGGTGGCCACCCTGGGTCACGGCCCAGCCCTCCTCTGGATCCGGAGCTAGTATAGCACTTATAAGTTTATCGATTTTAGTCTTTTGTCCCAGTGCTATTTTATAATAAAATTGTTTGAAATTAGAAAATGGGTCAGATGAACATATTCAAATTACAACTCTAGATTTAGTCTAGAAATTCTAGCTCCAATGATTCTCATCTAAAGGAAGACAAACAATGAAACATGAAATTCTAAAAGTCTAAACGTGAAAGACTAACAGAAATATGAAGTTTGTTCCCTTGAAATTCACTAGAGCACCTCCTGGAGATAGTGATGGACACACAATACAAACTGATTAGTCGATTGATTCGTCTAGTGTTGACATTATCCGTTTCAACAACTACTATGGAGAGAACCTTTTCAACAATGAAACAGGTGAAAAATGATTTGCACAATAAAATGACGATGACTTTCTCGCCGATTGGTTAACTATTTTATTTGAAAGAGTGTATGCTATTGGTATGGATGTAGACTCCATTATTGATGAATTTATAATATTAAAAGATTGACGTGTACAGTTGATAATGTAAAAAACTATAAATTTTTTACGGTATCTAATTTTCTAATGAAATGCGGCCCAGTGCTCTACTATGTCCTCGATCCGCCGCTGTAGACAACCAACAACATATAAGAACCTAATTTTGATAAAAAAAATCATACATTATGTTGGATGAAAACCTGAAAGCGAAAGTATTTTTCAGTCTATAATATTTTATAAGAGACTAAGACAATTCACACGTACACACCCAATATCATTAACCTCATACCCTTGACATATATTTTTTCTGGTGGATATTTCTAACGGTTAGCCACTTCTGTTAGCCGCTTAAGCAATTGAATGACGATTTTAATGGAGACTATCAGGACTAACGGAGAGTGACTAAACGTGAACCGTTTTACTAATTCGAGTGACCAACATTGATAATAATTTATTAAGTGACTAAACATGACACGTATTAGTAAACCCAGTGACCAAATCATAACATTTATCCATGAGAAAATATAATTAAAATGAGAGAAGATAATAAAAAAAACAGAACTGGAGGTGCAAAAAGAGACTAGTGAAGAGATTTTTCCAGAAATAGCACTGTTAAAAAAATTCCAAAAATAGCACCCAACTCCGAAAAATTCCAGAAATAGAACCCTTTCCCAAAAAACCGCACCCCCACCATGCGGTCTGTTTTTTTTTTTTTTGAAAAATCCTAACCTAGGTGGAAACTTCAAACGAACATATCTTTGTGTTCGGGTATCCGATCGTCACGATTTTTTTTTATTCTGCATAACTTCTTGAGATCTTGCAAGCCGAAGACTGCCGAAGGTGGTTTGGTCTCGCCTTCGTCCCAAAAAATGTCGTTTGCTACACCGAACGAGCTTATTTTCGATTTCGTCAAACTTTGGACAACCATAACTTTGTACTCCAAAATCCAAACGACATGAATTTTTTTTATTTCGCATAAATTTTTAAGGAATACAACTTTTATCATGGTGGGGGTGCGGTCTGCAATCAAACCGCATGGTGGAGGTGCGGTTTGCAAAACCGCCCCCTACCAGTGCGGTTTTCTTCGAAAAACTCTCCCCGGGTGGTGGTTTTTGCCTAAACCGCTGGTATGGGTGGTGGTTGTTTTTTGGAAATTGTGCTATTTTTAGAATTTTTCAGAATTGGATGTTATATTTGGAAAAAATAAATTAAACAGTGATATTTTTAGAAAAACCCCACTAGGGAAATGGAAAGATTCAAAGGAAGGAAAGAGTGCCCGTGAATCTAGCTGACCGACGGTCAGCCGCAAGAATTGACTTTGATTTTGGCGCCAAAAATTCTCTTCCTATTTCTGCTATTTTATTTTATTTAAGATATCTTTTGGGATCATCAAATGGTGATTGCATTGCTTGCTAGTTGCTGCTGCTGGTGCATTGCTTTGCTTCCTCCTAATTGTTAATCTTCTAATAGTTTTGTTTAGCGAAGATTGCACTCGATTGATTTGATTGATTGGTGTCAATTAATTAATTCATTGAATAGAGAATATGCTGTAATTGTTTGGTTCCCAATGTTTATCCCATCTCATCCACTACATATTATTAGGCAAAGAGGGAGAAGGAGAGTAGGTGGGTGACAAACAAACTAGAAATTTAAATAAATTAATTTCAAGTAATGATTATTTATATTGTAGATCATTATTAATTTAATATTTTTTGTCCAATTCAATGCAAAGAAATAGATAAAATCAGTAACATCTCAGAAAAATTCACCATCAACAGTGTACGGGATAGATCCAAAGTTTATAAGTAAGAAAATCGGTTTGAACTGACATGATGCATTTTGAGGTAAAATGAAAGATTTTTTTTTAATTTAAACGTTCTCACTGTGAAAAAGTGCAAGGATGGTTATCTTATGGGAAGCCATCTTGATATGCATTCGAATAAAAAAACCATATGGGTCTAGACCCAAAACAGACATCTTACTCGGAAAAAGCTTATGACGTTACATAATCTATTATAAAACTATGACAAATTACTTATCTACAAAGCAGAGGTAAATCTCTGCTATTAGATATGTACATAGGGGTGTCAGTTCGGGTCGGGTTCGGTTACCCGAACCAAAACCCAAAAAAACCCGAACCGGATAAGGACTTACGGGTTCCAATTACCCGAAACCCAAAAATTCCTTATTGGGTTCGAGTTCGGTTAAAGCAAAACCAAAACCCAAAAACCCGAACGCCTAAGAATACGGGCTGAGTTCTATTCATTGGAGGTTTTTAGACGAAACCCGAAAATCGATAAGCAAAACCGAGCCCGAAACCGTAAAACCCGAAACCCAAAACGAACCCAAACCCGAAAATCTGAAAATATATATAATCGGGTCGATTTCGGGTAAACGCGAAAAACCGAACCCGAATGGACACCCCTATATGTACATAATATAAGATCCTATAAAAAAAATAGCCTCCAAGATCTAAGGTGCCAAAAACAAACTTTGATTATTGGTAACACCTATATTAGTGTCATTTAACCTTCCATTTCTTAGGTGTTTGTATGCCATAATTAGGGCTGGCAACCGGTCGGTTTCGGTTTAACCGAAAACCGAAACCGCTGTTTTCGGTTTAACCGAGACCTGACCAGAAGCTACCGTTCACCGACCGACCCCAGAGCCCCGGTTAGCCGCAAACCGACCGGGCGGTTTTCGGTTCAGAGGCGGTTTAACCGGGGCAATCGACAGATTGATGGGCGGTTCGGTTCAATGGCCTAACCGACCGACAACCGCCCAAAACCGACCTCTTCTAACAAGAGATTAAAAAATAAAAAAAAATTAAAAGAAATACAGAAAAAAAAAATCAGAGCCATACATTCTTTATCTTCTTCCTCTTCTCTCCTTCTCTCCTACGCTCCTTCTCTCCTTCCTCTTCTCTCCTTCTCTTTTACGCAGAAAGCCAGAAACACTTTTTCTTCTCCTTCTCTCCTCTCTCTTTTACGCACTGACCTAGAATTGAATCGTCGGCGGCTAGGTCAGGAGTGGCGGCGGTGGGAATTGCGCAATTTAGGGATTGGGGGGAGGCGGCGGCGAATCCGCCTTCAACAGCGACGTCATCGTCGGGGCGGAGGAGGAAGGACTTGTCACTCCAGCCGGGGAGGAGGAAGTAGACGGCGGAGAAGAAGAGGATGAGGGCGTTGGTGAGTTGGAGTGGACGGGGCGACAAGGTTTCTGTGTAGCGGCGATGGATTTGGGTTTCTGACTGTCGTCTTCTTGGCGGTGGTGGGCGGGGCGATGAAGTGGAGGTGGAGGGCTGGAGCGGCGATGGATTTGGGAGGAAGGACTGGAGGAGGAGGGAGTCGATGGTGGAGGGGGGGAAGGGCTGGTCGGGGGAAGGCTGCAACTGATTTTGGAATTGGGAATTTGGGAGGTTGAAGGCGAGCGACTGCGAGGTTGGAGGCGGTTATGCTGGCTGCTAGGGTTCGAGTGGGGCGGCGTCGTTTAAGGGGCTGGCTGCAGGGGTCGGTTAGCCGGTTAACCACCGGTTTCCGACCCCGGTTAGTCGGCTAACCGGACTCCTGATTTCCTCTACCGCCAACCGACCGTCCTCTTCGGAATCGGTTTTTCGGCTAGCCGAAAACTAGTCGGTTCGGTTGAAATCGACCGGTTAGCCGCTAATCGGAAAACCGTCCGCCAGGCCTAGCCATAATCGTTGTCTTTGCTATTTGAGATTGATTTCGTACTATATTTGCTTCCTAGCATAATACTCTAAGTTTAGCATGACTTTTTCGTCACTTGGCTGTTTTGACTCGGAACTTGATTAATATCATCCTATTCTAAACTAGGTTGTGTTTTCTTGCTTAATCTCATGTCATAGCATGATAAGGAATGAGTGTGCCAATCAGTAGTCGTTTTAAGGATGAAAAGAAGTTGAGAAGAAAACTCAAGGTAAGTTAACGGCCTACGTCACGGCTGTGACCCAAGCCATGATGTATATCACGACCACTGTTCACGGATCAATGACTATGAATTCCAAGGGGGCAACAAGCGATGAAGTACATAAGGTCTCATGGCCATCCTCACGGCTTCAACGAGCTAGACCGCGAGTAGGGGTGGGAAACGGTCCGGTTTGGTTAAAACCAGACCGGATTGACCCGGTTTTTTGAAACCGGATTGGACATATACACGACCGAAGACAGGATTGGATTGGTGCACGGTTTTAACCAAACCGGATTGTATGCAATACGGTTTTAACCGGAAAAACCGGAACACTCAAATAAACTAAAAAACAACAACGTTTAAACTGACCTGAGAAAAAAAAAAAAGACGACCTCACAACTCGCTCCCAAAACCCAATTCCTATCTATCGCTTTCCCAAATCCCAATCCCTATCTATCTCTTTCCCCAATCTCGATTCCTTCTCAATCTCATATCTCCTTCTCCTCCTCTCACTTCTTCACGACGACAGCTCTTGATGAACGATTCTTGATGGCTGGTGGGCGACGAACGACGTGGGAGATATGAACGGGCGGCGGTATGGAGGTGCATGCCTCTTACGAGTGGCGCGATTCACTGCTGGCAAACGGGAGTCACCTAGCTGGGATGTAGAGAGGCGATTTGCGATGGGATGGAGTTTCTTATTCTTCTTTTTCTATTTCGTGTTTGTGTTGCAGAGGAGAATGGGAGAGGGGAGAGAATGAGGAGGAGAGGCGGCGTTGATTTGAGGCTTGGCTGGGGACTGGGGTTGATTTGCGGAGAATGGGAGGGGATAGAATTAGGGTTGGGCTTGGCGGGCCTGGCCTTGGGGTTGGCTGGGCTTGATTTTGGGCTGGTGTGGGCTTGGTTTGGGGCTGGTGTGGGTTTGGTTTGGGCTATCCGGTTTTTCCGGTTTTAACCGGATTGGACCGGGGTGGTGTGCACTCCAACCGGAAATTGGATTGGGTTGATGGTAATCCGGTTTCCGGTTGCAACCGGGCCGGTTTAAACTGGCCGGTTTCCAGTTTGACCGGAAAACCGGGACCGGATTTCCAGCCCTAACCGCGAGGCAGAGTTCACGGCCGCAAGAAAAGATCTCGGGTGTGATCTCTACCCGTGAACATGGCATGGTCAGGACCAGCTCAGGGCCATGACCCCTGGCCCTGGCCTGTATAAAGTTTTGATAGTTCATGGGATTCGTGCCCCATATCATTGTCGGAACTCCTCCGAACCCTAGGCGATATCTCTACGTGTGTGAGTTTATAAATGTGAAGGGTTTGTTAACAAAGAGAGATATTTTAAAGAGAGAAAAATATAGGTTGGAGAGATTGTAGAGATTTTGAGTGATTTCTTCTTCATCGTATCCCAAATTCCTCCCTATACCAAAGAAGGGTGGCCAAAGCAAGGAGTAGATGGATCTAGTTCAAGATTGGTGTTCTTCATCATTGTACACTCTTTCTCTCTATGTTCTAGTTTCTCTTGTTGCTTAAGAAGATGAACCCTAGCTTGTAGATTGTTTGTGTGTTTGTATGTAAGGATGATTGTGAACCTATATATCTATGTCTATTTGATGTTTAATCATATGCCAATATCTTGCTTCGGTAGAGGTACCTATTGCATTGTTCTTGACCTAGGTTGAGGTGACATCCTCTTAGGTCGAGGCTGGAACATGCATAAAATATTGTGGGATTTAAATTACATGATCATTGAGTCGAAGTTTCATTTGTGTAGGGATTAATCCAATTGGAGAGTCTAGACCTAATGCTCTCGGTACCTAGTTAGTTACATGATCATTGAGCTAACATTGATACCTAGAAGCATGATTGTGTGACATGATTAGCGTCGTAACCACTAGTCTAAGCGATTTCTTGCAACTTAGATGATAGGGAAAATTCATTTAACTTGTAGTTGTAGTTATTATTTTTACATATGTTTTTTTTACAGTTGTAGTACTACAACTACGACACGGACATAGCTGTATTAATTAATTTTACTGCTATAGTCAAGTTTTTTTTACAGTTATAGAACTACAATTCCAGCTCGGACTACTACAACTATCGAGTGCCATTGTTTTCTACTTTTTACTACAAGTTATTGATTACTTGTGGCAAGAAGAACAAAAAAAAAGGAAAAGAAAAAAAAACAAATCGAGTTAGAAGAACTTTAGCACCCCAAACTTTGGATTTAGGTTCAACCAATAATAAATGTACGGTTGGATCGAAGGTTCCGAATAAACCGAAGCCAAACACATGTATAATACGAAATACTAAATTAGTTGACGGGAGACTCATGGGTTGCCTTTTACATTTATAATAAGAGTTATCTTAATAATTTAAGATTATATTAGCTAAGGGGAATTAATTGGGTTTAATAATAATTATGAGAGCCGATGGGGTTCTTGAGGTTGAAAAGGACTAGAAATCCTTGCACCGATCAACGTAAGGAATGGAAGAGAGAGAGAGAGAGAGACATGTCGGGATAAATGAGAAGGGAAGCAACGATGATGCACGAGATGGCAGACTACGGCGACGACGATGTGGGAGTGCAACCGCTGGTGTATTTCTTCTCTTCAATCAGAGGCCTCGACTAATGATGTCGACCCTGAGCCCTGAAGTTGCTGCTGAAGGTATGGATTATGAAGGTGTCGAACCTAAGTATTTGGCTATTATGTGGAGGTCTTGCACATCGAGCAAGGGGTTGGAACACCTGGTGATGAACTAGGTTAAGGAATTGTTCAAACCGATCGGCCTGAAATCAAGGTGTGTTGGTCTAAGGGGAATCGTTCAAACCGATCGGCCTGAAATCAACGTATTTGATAATAGTGCGGTTTAATTGAATTATATTCAAGTATTTGCATTTTTTCGTTACTATGATAAGTTGTTAAGTTATGCTCCTTTATGCTTTTATGCTATGTACGATTATGTCCAATTCTTACGTTTCAGTAAGCATTTCATTGCATATGCATAATTGATTTATGTTTTAAGATAGCGGAAAATACGTTATGTTTTAAGTATACTAGCTTATATTTTCCCATAGTGTGGAAAATGAATTTAAGCAAGTGTGCTTGGTGGATTTATCAGCAAGTAAGATCGCGTTTTAACTCTCTCTTAGCTACCAACCCATGGTCACCTCACTCCCCACGGTGAGGGAGTACTCTTTTATGTATGTACGAACTCCACTCCTGGGTAATAAGAAGGTTAAGAACCCTCACCCTTGGGTTATAAGGTGGTCCTGTTATGAGGTATCTCACAGCCATGTACAGCGCGTGGTATTGTGTTTCCCATATGATGAAACCCATATTATAAGCATGTTCATGTTATAAGTAAGTTGGTGACCGTGGTAGTGTGCTAGTTAAGTTGAGATCGGGGCCCCCTTCACGAAATTATTTCCAAGTAAACAAAGCTTACTATACTCAGGCATTGCATGATCATGAGCATGTGCATTATTTATGTATGTATGTCAAACTACTTCTTTATCAATAAAATGAATCTAGGACATATGATTGACCCCACACCCGCACTAAGAACTTGTAGGATTGTCGGCAGTTCGTATAATAAAGTTGACTAGACCACGACAAGGGTTCAAGGCTCCAGAGGATTTTCGATGTGAGAAATTTAATTCTCGTATACATGATGGATTTAAGACTTGATGCACATTTATTAAGAATTCTTATGATTTTCTCTTTCAAGATATTTTTATTTGAATTACAAGGGATTTATTAAATTTATGGAAGAAATATTTCTCGTTATTTTTTCCAAGCCTTTTGATTTCAATTATGGTTAACGGTTTAATAAGGATATTTTGGTAAAAATAGTGTCCTGCCGAACTAGAGTGTTAGAAGAACTAAAGAAGAAGAAAGTGATGTAAGTAGAAACCCAAAGATGCAGCAAACATCCCACCACCATCCCATAATCATCGTCATCTTGAATCGCCAATGAGAAAAAGAACCGCCCATAATAATTATTCGAATCATCTCACAAAAATGATTTGATGCTCTTATTCTTCTACTTTGGTCTTTGGACACCTTTTCTTTACATTTTTATCCATATCCCTCCCTGCTCCTGCTCTTTTTTATGGTAAAAAACAACAGATTTGTTTGTTCGTTGAAAAACAAAAAGAACCAATTTTTAAAAATGGACCATGCAAATCAAAAGGAAATTGGATCTGGAACTTCCTTCCTTCCTTCCTTCCTATTATCTGCAGTAACCTTCGATCTCCCTCCTTTCTCAACTTGGAAAAGCAACCCTTTCTGAGATCCTTAAAGAGAGAAAAACATGAAAACAGAGCAAAAGTCGGCTCTTCTCTTCTCTTCACCTCTCTTGATGCAATTTGGGGGGAAAGGTTATAAAGAGTAACCGAGAAAAAACTTGGGATCCTTCTTAGGAAGTAGCCTACTTTTTCCCACTCCTCTTTTCTTTGCAAAAGAACAGGCTACCAAACAGAAAACACCTCCATTTTCTTGCTTCACCCAGCCCCCTTTGTGACAAGCCATGTGCAAAGCAAGCTAAAAAACAAGGAAAATTGGGGTTCCCAAATCTGAAATAAGAAAGCCCCATGTGGAGAGACTTGTTTGAGTAGAAAAAAAAGTTCCCATTTTGTGATTGAGATCAAAGCATGTTCCTGATTCTCTATCTCAACTGTCTACCCTCCAAACATATCACAACCATCCAACTTCCCTTTCCAGTTAGCAAAAGGATAAAGTAAAAGAAGGAGAAAAAAAAAAAAAAAAACAAGTGCAGACATGCAATGTGAGATTTTGTGAAAAGTTGCAGACTTTTACAGCTACATAGATGCAAATCTTTAGTTGGGAATAGGAAGAGAGAGAGAGAGAGAGAGAGAGAGAGGGAGGGAATGAGAGCATATCTGGAAATTGGCTTTCTTTGGGAGGATAAAAAAAGCCAGAGAAGAATATAATCATCATCATCGTGAATTCGTGATAACAGTCTTTTACTGTGTTGTACTGAAATAATAATGATGATAGCAATATTGTGGTGGAGGGTGGGGACTTTACATCCTGGAGTAACCCCTGGTATCTTCATACTGCTTCATGAACCCGTCATTGAACTTCTTAAAGCTTTCCATGATAGCTGGCATGTCTTCCTCCGCTGGTAAGATGGTTGTCCTCAGATGGAAAACCCTGCAAAAATCAAAACAAAGGAACACCCATCATGCTATATGGATGGAACAACTAACCCAGATATGGTCAGGTTAAGATGGGTTGGTTTAATTCTGCATTTTTACCCTTCTTTCTGGCCGAATCCTGAGCCGGGCACTGTGGAGATGCCTGTGGCTTCCAGTAGCTTGAGACAGTAGAAGACATCAGGAACTTTACCAGCACTCTTGGCAGCCTCGATCGCCTTGGGTGGCAACCGTATTTGAGGGAACGAATACATGGCACCTGATAACCCGTGTGTTTAAAACGAATATTGTAAGCTAAGGTTATGAGTAAGCACAGTGTAGTGGCTGGCAGTTATATATTTGCATAAGCTATAGAGTAAGCTAACCTTCAGTGAAATTGCAGACCACATTGCGGCAGCTGTTGAAGCCATCTGTCATAATCCGAGCCCTTTTTCTTAGTGATTCGAGGATCCCCTTGCTGCACATCATTCATCATTTGAGAAATCGGATTATGCAACTCATACCACACAAAGACTGTCGCAAATTATAGCAGACGTTACCTTTCCCTAATGAACTGCTCATAAGACACGTCCCCAGGTTTCAATGGGTTGACCATCAGCCCCATCTGCGTGCACATACAAATTTGACCAAGTTAAATTAGCAACAGTAGAGCGTTCATATCCATCTTTGAAATAAGAGTGATCATCGAGTTTGTGTACACGTACGAATATCTGAGCAGGGACATTTGGACTGAGGGCAATTGATGCAACCTTGTATATCTCGTCAACTGACTGCAATATCAAATTGGTCATACACAAAAGCTCAAACAATTAGCTTCTCGATCAAGTAACGTTCTAATAGAAGGATACCCATTATCTGGTTTATGTCCTAAGAGAAGTAAATCAAAACCTTTGGAGGAATGTTGGTCATCTCAAAGTATCCACCTCTCTGCCCACATTCGCCCCAGTATCCTTTAGACACAGTGTGGAACGAAACAAGCTGAACCTCCTTGCTATAAGGCGGACCCATGTCCATCAAGACCTTCACAAAGTGTGAGTAAAGTCACTAAGCGGACTAAATAATAACACTTCACCAACAGGGGAAGGCACAAACATACCTTCTTAGAGCTGATAAATGGGCGTTCGTCCTGGTAGATGTTCTGCTGGTAAACCTCATCTCCAAGGAGGACAAGGCCCTCTTGATAACAGAAGCGCAGTATTTCGCTCAAGTTCGCTTCACTAAGACACTGACCAGTGGGATTTCCAGGGTTGATTATCACCATTGCTCTCACCTGATCCACATTCCATTGTATAACAAAGTTTAGTTCAGCAATTCATGGCAAACTGCAGTAGGAAATCACCATGGGCAAGTAAAGACAGAATGTACTAACAGTTATCCCTTTGAATTGAGCTTGAGAAACCGCGTTTCTCAGGTCATTCACGTCGAGACCCCAGTTTGCCGTCTCTTCCAAGTAATATGGGACAAGAGTACCACCAAACAGACTGATTGCAGCTGAGTAAAGTGGGTATTGTGGCACTGGAACCAGGATCTGCCGACAACGAATACAATGATTGTGAGAAAAAAAGCAAAGGAATGTTGTTATGAAGAGAACAGAAACAAAAAGATTTGACTTACCCCATCATTTGGACCTCTAATGATCGTGTTCAAGATTTGCATCACACCTTTGCTTGCTCCATCAGTGAGAAATATCAATTCTGGATCGCTGTCCACCAGGCCCAAGAACAGAAAAGTTAGTCCTCCTCCTAGTTCATAGGGATCAAAACCCAAAGACATAGGAAACTAATTTAGTCACCTTGGGTAACCATCGCGTCTGAGAAGGAATTCTGCAACCTCCTTCCTTACTCCTGGAATGCCTCTGGAGTCACTGTATGCACCTGAGAAACGATGAGGGAAAAGACAATTATTTGGTGTCGCAAGAAGCATGCAGAAATGTATGGAGAAATGAAGGTGGGAAAATGATACCTAAACCACCAGAGGTCAAGGAAAGGTAATGTTTAGCCCTTGCGATGGCATCAGCAGGGAACATAAGTCCCACATTAGGATCATCCAGTAGAAAGGGAGCTTGGCAAAGAGCAACCACCTTTGAAATTCAACATCTCCTTTTAATCAATCAAACTAGAATCGAACTTAAGCTAAGATAATAAGAAACTTGATGAGCTTAAAAGTTACTGCTTATGAAAACCTGTCGAGGGAAGGTCAGTGGCTTCTGTCCAAGAGCATGAGGGTTGCCAACGTTTGTGAAAATGATCTACATCAAAACAATATCATCCAACAGTTAAGTAATCAAGAATCAGTCGATTAATTCTCAAAAAGAACCAGCAAGTTGCTTTTAAGTAGCTGCCATCTGACTTCTGAGGACTTGCAAATTGCAATAAACCTGAACAGAACAGATAAAATGACACATAACACTCCTCGAAATAACTACCACTACTACAGTGACATCATCACCATGCATCTAAGGCGACAAATCAAGAGAGTTTGCTGCCTGTCATAGGACAACAAGGTTTCTGCTTTAAGGTAGGACAAAAATTTCATACAAATTGAATAAAAAAGGGCAGCAGCAGCTAGCTAGCATCATAAATCCGAAAGAGGCAAAGTAACGTACAAAGGAAATCTAGTGAAAAAGTCCAAGATTGGAACCTTCTTTCCTTCCTTCTGAAGCTCAGAAGCTCGAAGGTACAGCTCGCCCCTCACAGCATACTGAACCTTCTTCACGTTTTCGTTCAGGTGTTCGTAATCCAAACCCTTGGGCGCCATGGCTAATATGCTCGCCCTCTATCTATCGATTAACAGAGGAAATCCAAAAAAAAAAAAAAAAACTTAGTTTCTCTTCTGAGAAAATATACATCAAAGAAACGAAGCCCACTCAGAATGAAATGCGAGAGACGACCCTGGAGAAGTCCTCGATTCTCATTAAACTAAAGAACCCAGTTAACTATGCGATCAAAAGAGCAAGACCCACTAACCAAAATGAAATTTTATTAGGCTCAATCGAGAAACCAAGAGTTTCAACTGACCCAATTCGCACTGACACTCAATCAAACAGAAGGAAACAAATCAAGAGGAAGTAAGAACTGGGTCAAACTGGGTACTGCACCTGGAACAGTAAAGGTGGGGACTTTCTATGCACAAGTTGAAGTTTGCTGAGTGGCGCGAGTTGGAGCTGTGATTTTGGCTGGCAGAGGAGGAATGGCGATGAGTGTCAGTTATGTTTGGCGCCTACGGTCAAGTAAGACGACGGAATTGTTAATATTTTTTTATGTGGCAATGGGTAAACAATGAGGACATTTGGACCAATGGGTTCGTTATGGGGCACCACCATAGCCACTGAATTTGTGTTTTAGTTTGATTTCTCTCTTTTGTTTGGGGATAAAATTTCCAATTTTTTTCTTTTTTTTAATTTTGCTGTGGTGTTATTTCTGAAAGGATAATTGAATTGCATGAAATGTGGTGTGGCTTCAAACTTCGAGTTCTTGGTCGTGGCTCTCCCGAGCTTCATCTATTCCCTTTTGGAAGTATTTGATCTTCTTCCCCTTGACTCCAATTTGAAGATTAGGAAGTTAGTTTGGTTGTCGCGCTTTGATTGATGTAGGCATATCTTTTGGCACAGGGCAGCTGTAGTGACTTAACTTTAGATTCGTGCTTGATGCATTCCTTATTTCTTTGCATGTGGAAAAGAAGCATGAGAACTATATGGATATGGTGTTTCTTCTATGTTTAGCATACTAACGAATTAGCTATCTGGATGTTCTATATTCGAAATACAACAATGTAAATGATAAATTATCGTAAGGATTCAATTTTATTTTTCAAATTTGAGTGAAATTCTTAACTTAATAACACACATAAAGAACTTTTAGATGTTGCGAAATAATTAAAACGGATTACCCAAGATTATTTAGGTGCTTCTTCATCTTCATCACAGACCTCTAAAATGGTGAGGTGTGGTTTATTTCCCTTTTTGTTAGGTTGATCAAATGAGTTACATATGTGAAAGAATGAGCAATTGTCATTTTATGATTAGGGAGAAGTACCATGTTATAATACGAGATGATGAGAACATGGAAGATTATATCCTTGTCTGAACATATCTTATTATTTCACCCTTCTGCCCTACTACCTTACCCTAGACATGTGCTTCATTCCACAGCTATCTCTTTTTTGCATTCTCTCTTCCCATTTTTAAAATATTTAATTCCTATCTCATTTGTTAATCTCCTCTTTAATATCATTGCACAAGTGCTTACTAGCATATTAAAAACTGTCCATTCCAAAGTAATTAGTGGAAACTAATTAACTTTAATTGAGGGTAGACGTATTAGAACAATATCCTAATGACACAGGAGCTACAGTCCGTGGTTATCATAGCTATCTGTTTACCATAGCTATGGAGGGTTATTATTGGGTTTGAATGCATCAACAGCTAAATGAGTCTTTGCCATTTCATTCTCAATGTAAAAAAGTAGCTCTCACACATCTTGTTTTTGTAGATTAACTCCTCATATTTACTGAGAGATCAATTCCAGCCCTTACAAAGATCCAAAATGTGTTGACTGAATTATATGGGTTGTCTAGGTTAAATTATAATCTAGTGAAATGTGTAGTTTATTTTGGTGGGTTTTTTTTATAAGGATGATATAGGTTTCTTTTTTGTGATTAAGGTACTATGTAAGGGATTCGAACCTGGGACCTACAGGTTCTAGGCTAGTGGTATTACCACTAGACCAAGCCCTTGTTCGTATATTTTGATGGATTTTAGTGATCTATAAATATCATGTTTTAGATGTATAAATTTCACGAGGATAGAGTGCAATGAGATACTTACGTCTTCCCTTTATTTTAAGAAAATATCCTCTAATAATCGTGATTGATTTATGGTCAAGATTACTTAGAAGATTAGGTCAGCGTGCAAAAGAAACCGAGTTCTGCAGCGGCTCCAATTAATCTCTTATGTTCTAATGGAGGGTTTGGTAGTTCTGGATGTAGATTTTTCTGTTGCCTAAAATGGATAAAAGAAATACACAGTTTTATCTGATAAGTTTTTTTGTCATGGTGGGGGTAGAAGACAAGGCAAAGGTCGTTGGGACTTGGGATAGAGTGACTAAACCTAGGAAATAAGGAGGTTTAGGGCTTCGTGAGCTATTAACTTGGAACCAATCATGTACTCAAAGGATGCTTTGGATTATGTTAATGAAGAGTGAGGACTGTATGGGTGGGTTGGATATGGAAGTTTGGGGTGAAGACAGGTAGTGCGTGGAGTGTAAGTATAAGTTCTATTAGTTCTTGGGCTTGAAAAGGAATTCTAAAGCTTCGATCAGTGATACAAGACCATCTGAGCGTGTACAGTAAATGTTGAAGTTAAATTGGTGCTTAGTGACACAATGTCGTCCTGCTCAGCTCATTTATTGCTTCTGATTTTGGAAGTCTTTGTTGCAAAGACTCCTAAGCATCGACGATGGTTAGATTAGATCCTCCCAATCTTCATCTTCAAATCCTACATATATATCCAATAAGTTCATCCCCTTGCCCTTGCCCTTCCCCTTCCCCTTCCGGCAACACGCATGTTTACAACTCAAATGCGAAAGTACAATCCAACAAACTTGGCAGCCATGGCAGGAGTTCATTTCAACTATTATTTCCCGCGCGTATGCTGACCGGAAGTTATGCATATGGAGTATTATAAAAAAAGGGCTAAATTACATGTTTGGTCACTCAAAATGTACAAATCTTTCACGTTTGCCACTTGAATTACTTTTCTTTTTTATTCGCCACTAACTTTACGAATCGTTTCACCATTAGAACCTGCCGTTACACTCCGTTAAATTTGTACTACTTGGCAGTCAACTATAAAGTTTGACCGTTAACTTGATGACGTGGAAATTAAAAATAATAAAAAATATAATTATTTCCACCTCACCATTCCACTTACTAAATTAACTAAAATTTTTCCTGTGGAGACGGAGAACTTGGTCGATTATGTTAATAAAAATTACTAATTTTTTTATAAATTAAAAAATTAATTTTCAGTGGGAGGAAGAAATTTATATAATCAACCAGTGCAATAGGATTAGAAATTATCCTGCATCCCCATAGCCTTTTAAATTACTTTTTTAGAAGCCTTTTAAATTAGTTCGTGATGCATAACTTAAACAGAAGAACAAGTCCACCCCCCAAAAATCATATGCCAAATCTCATAGTTCGCCGACCTCAGCACCTTGCTCATGAACCGCAGCCTGGCTCCGTCGATGCCGTAGTTCATATTGGTGCGCACGTTCAGCCCATCGAACTGCGCGTAGAAGTAGCCGAGCTCGTCGGCCTGGTAGCTCTGGTCATGCCTGGAAATCACCGATGTTGGGATGGAAGCTTCGCCAAGAACTGCAGGTCGTTGAAGAAGCTGTCTTGTGGATCTTGCAACTTCGGCGCCAAAGGTATAAACGCCATCCTTAACAACTCTGCATCTCTAGAAGAACTGCCTGTGAAGAGGTTCTACAGAAGAACCCAACAGTGGAGAAAAGCGTTGGATGGGAACCCGAAGAACCCAGCAGCAGCGCCACCGGGAGGGACCACCGCGCTCCGATTGTCGACGAAGAAGCAGGATGAGAGGGTAAGGATTTCGATGGAGCTGACGAAAGTCACGGCAGACGAATAGGAGGAGTGGGGACGGAGTTCGCTGGATGGGAACCCGAAGAACCCAGCAGCAACGCCGCCGGGAGGGATCGCCGTGCTTTGATTGTCGGTGAAGAAGCTCGATGAGAGGGAAAGGATTTCGATGACGCTGACGAAAGCCACGACAGACGAATCGGAGGAGTGGGGAAGGAGTTCGATTGCCTTCCTCTTTCCTCCTAGTCTGAAACCCTGATTTCAACAGCAATTTATATATCTCAACCTAGAAAATCAATCCAGTCCACAAAAATCAATTCAATCTCTGATTCACCGAAGCTCTAATTAAATAAATAACAAGAATGATGAATTCGAACATGGAAGAATTCAAGATCAGAATTAACATAAACTTAAGTGCCCCATTGGCCTTTAACGCAAGCTTCGACGGATATTTTGCCATCACGACTGCGCATAAGCTCTTTCAAGCCATTAATCTCAGTCTCTTTGGGAGGACTGAACCATAGCCACGGTTAGGCCATTAAAGGTATCAAGCGTCGGAGATACGGATGAGGCTCTTCCCGGAGCCGCACCTGAAGTTGCTGCCGCCGAAGGAAGTAGCAGTGCAGGGAGAGAAAAACTGGTGAAAGAGGCGACTGAGGAAGAAGGTGACGATGATGAGGAGAAGAGCGCCGATCTGGTGGGTACAAGTGCACCGGCGACGAGGAAAGAGGAGGTCGTTCATTTTTTTTAATTTAATTATTTTTATTAAATAATTAATATCAGAAATCATATAGATAAAGTAAATGCAATGATGAGGTGGAAAAATATATTTAGTTTTTTTTAATTTTTTAATTTTCACGTCATTTAGTTAACAGTCAAACTTTATAGTTGACTGCCACGTAGGAAATACTTAACAGAGTGTAACGCCCGGTGTTAATGGTGAAACGATTCGTAAAGTTAGTGGCGAATAAGAAAGAAAAGTAATTTGAGTGGCAAACGTGAAAGATTTGTATAATTTGAGTGACCAAACGTGTAATTTAGCCAAAAAAACAGTTATGCATTATATGCATATGGAGTGAGTATGGCTTGCCCGGGTCATGCTGGGCTGAAGTGGGCCATCAGACCCAATATGTGGTCTTCTAAGCCCAACCCAACCTAACCCACCACTGAAAGCCACCGGTCCTATCCACATTCCTTCCCAGTCTAAACCAACAGTATGCGGAACCTTGGAGTTCCGTCGTGGATCCATGGCGATGGCAGCCTCGCCGTACTTCCGCCCCCTGAACTCCTCCTCGTTCTCAACGAATACCCGCCGTTCCCGCTCGAATTCCTCCTAACAACGCGGCAAACCCGCCACCCCGGTTCCTCGTCAGCTGCAGAAGAAATACAAAGCAGCCATCTCCACTCTTTTCTCCTTATTTATGGCGGCGGCGGCGGCGGCGGCGACAAACTCCCTGCTCCATTCCTGGCTCCACTACCCGACCCGTTCTCCTTTGCCCAACCCCTACTCCAAATGCTCATATTTCTCTTCTCCTCTTCTCCTCCAAGTCAATCCGTGTCGGACCAATTCGTTTCCGTCTCTGACGAGCAATTGCAGCTCTAGCCGCGTTTACTGCGAAATCAAGAGTTTTGAGAGCCACCAACAGAATTTAACCGTCAGGTTTTTATCTGGCTCCGGTCAGTTACATTCAATCCAGAGCTCTCCCCCTCCTTCTTCCGTTCCAATGGCTGCCACTGCGTCGTCGGATTCCGGGTCGAAAGGCGTCAAACGGGTCTGCCTTTTCTACTGTGACGAGACCAAGGCCTTGGCTGAGCGAATTGCTAATCGCTCCGACGCTATCGAGCTTCGTTCCATCAACTGGAAGTGAGTACGCGGATTCCGTCATTTCCCCCCATTAGCTTAAATTCTGCGGAAAAGTTTTATTCTTCACTGTCGGATTTGGTAATTTCTGCCAGTGTCTGTGATAATAGAATAATGATATTTCATTGATTTCTCAGAAATTTCGAACGCTTCCTACAACGATTTTGGAGATTCTCTAATGTCTGTTCTGAATTTCCACAAAAAATATAATGGTGGGTGTTCTATAGGACGTTTGATGATGGATTCCCAAACTTGTTCATACCAAACGCTCAAGGGATTCGGGGCCAGCATGTTGCTTTCTTGGCATCATTTAGCTCGCCAAAGGTGATATTTGAGCAGCTATCAATCATCTATGCACTGCCCAAATTGTTCATCTCTTCCTTCACTCTGGTCCTGCCCTTCTTCCCCACTGGCACTTCGGAGCGTATGGAGGATGAAGGAGACGTTGCCACGGCTTTTACTCTTGCTAGGATCTTGTCCAATATACCAACTTCAAGAGGAGGGCCTACTAGCTTGGTGACTTTCGATATCCATGCCTTGCAGGTCTGTCTGCTTTAAGGTTTTGCCTCGTCGCCAATTATGAGTTGGGCACTTTAACCATTCAGCCATGGATGCTAAGCAGGGATCCTGGGTTTTGCTTGGCTTGTATGGAAGTTTCTGACTTTCCTTTTCGAATGATTATTGATTGAGTGTATGTTTAGGAGAGGTTTTACTTCGGGGATACCATTCTGCCGTGCTTCGAAAGTGGGATACCTTTGCTTATGAATAGGCTGCAGCAGCTTCCAGATTCTCGTAATGTAAGGTTATGCAAATCTACTCTATTCCTGTTAAATATTGACAACCAATCTGTATCAAAGCATGGTTATGAAGGAACGGACTTAGTGGATGACTTGATGGATCCTTTTCTCTTTTATTTTTCAGATAGCAATAGCTTTCCCCGATGATGGAGCGTGGAAAAGGTTTCATAAACAACTACAGCATTTCCCCACGGTGCTGTAAATGACTACTTCCAGGGAGTCTAATTTCTCTCTATATTCATGTAGTTTGTTTGCTGAGCCCTCTGATTTCTGTCTGCGATTTTCAGATTGTGTGTGCAAAGGTTCGAGAAGGTGAACAGAGAATCGTGCGTATCAAGGAAGGAGACCCTCAAGGACGGCATGTAGTGATTGTTGATGACCTAGTTCAGTCAGGTGGCACCTTGATTGAATGTCAGGTAAAAATCACAGCCAGCTTTTCGGTCAAGCATCATAGTTGAGTTTCAGTGGAAGTTTCTACTCCAAGTAAAGCCTTTACATGTATCAAGTAAACAAAGAAGCTCTGGTGCACTTGACAAAAATAAAACCATTGTGTGTTCCCAACAGAAAGTGCTGGCCAAGCATGGTGCAACAAGAGTAAGCGCTTATGTTACGCATGGCATTTTCCCTAATCAGTCGTGGCAGCGCTTTCAGTCCGACAGTGCAGGTATGGTCTAGTGTGTTGATATCATAACTCATACCATGCTGGTTGTACATGGTATGGATTTATAACGATTTTTCTGAAGGTATTATTGATGCATCAGTCTTTAAACGGGGTTCTTGTCTGGTAACAGGTAATCCAGCTACTGGACTGACCCACTTCTGGATCACGGATTCATGCCCATCGACAGTTAAGGCAGTGATGAACAGACAACCATTTGAGGTTCTTAGCCTGGCTAGTTCAATAGCAGCTGCCCTTCAGATCTGATCGTAATGATTACAAGCTTTTCCAACATCGTCTATAAGAGGCTTTTGTTCCCCAGGAATTTTTTGGTTCTTTTCGTCTTTGTTCTCTTCAACGGCGTATGAGTATCCGGCAATAAGAGGCACAAGTACAAAAATCAATGTTGTCTTTAGCATTTCTTATTTATAATGAATGATGGATTGTAATGAATAAAAGCTGGAAGAAGAACAAAAAAGAGCATCCATTTGCTCCCAAAGGCAATGTTCTTGAGATTCTGCAAAAAACACGGCCCTATAAATCACATGTAACTGTGCATTTCTCATTCACACTCTGATCTAGGACGAGAAAGAAGGTAATGTGTTACACCAGTGGAAAGGATACTGTAGACCTCATTCACTTCATCTTATTACTGGCCTTGATATAATTTAGGAACCTTTTGGGTGCACGACCACTATCGATGGCTTCTCTAGCTCTATCCAGGGCTGAATTTACATCTTCTGCAACGTCACATCCCAGCAAGTGATCAATCATTCCAGCGTTTAATACAATACGATCATATGCAGGACCCTTTTGGCCATGAAGAGCTGCCAGACCTAGCTCTATGTTCTTGGAAACCTAAGCAAAAGAAAGGAAATGTAAACCCACTTGAAATAGTTCGAACACCATGAATTGTTTGGGAACCTAAACAATTATTTTCCGAGGGGAGATAAATTCATTACCGATCTATCTGTTCTTGGAGTATCGGTGGGTTCAAAGCCATAATCCTTGGCGTTGACAGCAATGCTAAAGCTCTGACGTGAGACACCTGCTAGGAATGACAATGGCAAATGAACAAAAACTATGGCAAGAGGCTCCTTTGAAAGGAAAGTTCCAGGAGATGTATCAAAGCAAAAGAGGCAAACCATCGACTTCAAGAGCAGATGCCGCAGTGGATGAGCGAAATCCAGAGCAGTAGTTGACCGGGAGTCCTTTTGATGCATTTCCTGACCTCAGTCTTGTTGTCATAGAGAGGGCACCTTCCTCACCCTACACTAGGATGAAACAACCAGTAAATTAGGTGAATCTCTTTTTGCATGGTATACCTCTTAAAACTCCCCACTCCTAGCTAGATGAATCTCTTTTCTACCACGATAAGAGAAAAGAAAGCCACAAATCAATAAACATGAAAGTCCGAGACTTTTTAACCTTAACCACCAAACCAGAATGTACACCTCTTCTTCTCATAAGCATCAAAAGAGGCTCCTCATAGCCTTCATGATAGAATCCAGCAACAATTGCTTCCCTTCCCTTGGCCTGCACAGATTAGGCAACAGAGCTAACTGCATTGCATCTATAACTGGTTCACAAATAAAAAGGATTACAGATGACAAAAATAGTGAATATAATATGGCTCACCCTTACTAACTGTTGAACCTTTTCTGTGGTTGCCAGTGGGGGACGCTTCTTTATGTGCTCCCTCAACCCAATTAATGAAAATCTGCAAGATGGAAATGTCATTGCAATTTTTAGTTCCTGAAACATTAGGCAAGGAAAATGAATATCAAGAGTAACTGTGAGCATACAGTCACAAGTGGACACTCAAGGGCATCTCTGCAAGATGGAAATATCATTGCAATTTTTAGTTCCTGAATCATTAGGCAAGGAAAATGAATATCAAGAGTAACTGTGAGCATACAGTCACAAGTGGACACTCAAGGACGATTACAATAGTTACAACAGCAGCATAAGGCCTTCTCTATAGGGTGAGGAGAACAAGCAAGAACAAAAATACAGGCTTGAAATAAATACTCAATTAGATTCCGTACAGGGATGGGCGAGCCTCACGCTGACTTAAGTAGGCAAAACCAAGATCTTTATCCTGAATGAATATAAGGGAAACGTTAGAAAAATAGGTGGTACACCAAAAATGGGTGGTAAGTGATAAATTAGGAACAAAAAAACAGCAACAGAAATGCTGCAACAAGAGGAGTTAAATATGAGTGCAAAAAGAAAGGAATGATTGTCGTTCTTGTCAGTATTTGAGCATCACACCTACCTCAAGAAGCTCTTTCGCCTGCAACGGGTTTAGGTGTGTATTTGCACCCATGAACTTCAGCATTTGTTCTTCGGTTATCCCTCCCTAGGACAATTATCACCATTTCCATCTTAGTCCTTAGAATATGAAAGTCTGAATGCAGTATGGGAAGAACAAATGAGGATTCCTATGGGAAGTTTCGACATTTGTAATCATATGGTACCACCATATCAATCACCACAGTTGAAGGATTTCGAGATCCAGAAAATAATAGGAACCCTAAATCACCAATACGTCAATTTGCGGGAAACATAAATGAGTTGAAGACTGACCTTAGGTGGCATCCAGTCCACACCGTGGAGCAATGAAGATTCACCATAACAGGATCTAACAGCAGCAACAAACAACGTGCTCCGGAAGAAACGTGTGTTCCCATCATAAGGTTCACCATAATGGGTCAATGATCTCACATCAGCAACTGGAGGAGGACCTAATAGCCAACTGTTAGTAGAATCAGGCAACAGAGGCTATATAGCTAATTGGAAAGTTTTTCATGAATGATCACTCTAAAAGGCGTGTCAAACAATGGAATGCTTACCAAGTTCATCATCAAAAGCAAGGCAATATGCTTTCAATTCACGATCTGTCTCCCTGTTCACCCGCTGACCAATTAAGAACGCCGAAACCAATGACTCTTTCGAACTGTCTTTGTCATCTTCAACATTTAAGGGAAGAACATCTCTCAAAACACCTTGGAGCTCGTTAAAATTCTAATGGAGATTGAGCCAACCTGATCTTAAAATGGTGTCGAAAACTTTGAAAGCTTGCTCCTCGCTAAGCGGCTTGGTCATTTCAGGTCCGGTGCAAACCCTAGCCTGAGCTTCCAGCACAGTCTGATTCGGCTTCGGCAACTTCGAGCTCGGATAAGTGGAAGAAACCGCGGGATTCCTAATTTCGGATTCCGATATTCCTTATTGATCCAGCGTCGCCGAGTCTATAACAGCTTTCACCGCCGGCGAGCGAGCTCTCGCGATACAACGACCTCCAATTTCCGCGGGAAACCGCAGAGAGCAGTGAATATTCAAACGGTTGAGGCGGCAAGGTTCCGCGACCCGAATAGAGAGAAAAGGCTCCGAACTTAACAGCGCTTCCATGACAGTCTCTGATTCTACTGAACGGAGAAAACAAGGATAAATAACAAGTTCTGGCAAAAGGTGGTTAACTTTCTCTCTGTGCTTCACTGCTTCTATTTTTTTGCCTGTCTACTTTGACCGTTGCCAATATGAAATTCGCAGTGCTGAAGTCCGCCGGGGAAAGTTTTTTTTCTTTGAAATTTCCGCGGGGAAAGGTTACCGGTGAAGGTGGCAAATGGATTGATCCATGGATTAGTGGATAACTTTCTCTCTCGGCTTCACTGTTTCTATTATTTTGCCTGTCTACTTTGACCGTTGCCAATATGAAATTCGCAGTGCTGAAGTCCGCCGGGGAAAGTTTTTTTTTTTCCTTCGAAATTTTCGAAATTTCCGCCGAGGAAAGCTTACTGGTAGAGGTGGCAAATGGATTGATCCATGGATTGGTGGATTCATGGATCAAATGGATTGGATCCAATGGATTGATGGATTGGATCAAGTGGATTGGTGGATTATCCATGAATCCAAATGTCATCCTCAACCAAGGACCACTTTGCAAAAAGTGAAAAGTTTAGGTACTAAAATGTCATAATGAAAAATTTTAGGTACCAAAATGTAATTTTCAAATGATATTTTTCGTATAAAAAATGAAATTTTGGGTACCAAAACGTAAAATATAAAAATTATAGGTACCAAACCGTAATTTGCCATTTGGATCCATGGATCGATGGATTTAAATGGATTGGATTAGGTGGATATTTTTTATAGGTGTCAAAATATGCCCGACCCGATTAACCCGCCCGATCAACCCGAACCGCAACCCGAATTGACTAAAAGTCAACAACCCGTAACCCGCCCGACCCGCAAACCCGATTGACCCGCAACCCAACTAACCCGCAACCCGACTAACCCGCAACCCGATTAACCTGAACCCGATTGACCCGCAACCCGACTGACCCGCAACCCGATTAACCCGAACCCGATTGACCCGAACCTGACTAACCCGTAACCCGACCGACTCAACCCGAATTTCATCTAATCCACTTTAATAATTATAAAAATATTCAATACATAGTTTTTCAAAATAAAGTTTTTCATTCTAAACTTAAGTAAAATTATTTTTTCATTTCGTATAAGAAATTTTAAAAATATGAAACTCACTTGATATTACGTATTTTAAGAAAATTACAAAAATTGAAACATAAAGGTCACTTGAGATCATGACAATATTAATATAATATATAAATTCAAATTTTGGTTAATTTAACTATTCAATAAAATTATCAATTAAATATAAATAAAGTAAAGTAATGTATTTGGTAATTTGATGTTTTTAAAAGAAGAGAAAATTTTTGGTGTATTCAAGTTTTTGGGAAGAGAAAGAAGAGAGAAATTTGGTTCTTTGAATTTTTTAGAAAAGAAACAAGTGAGAATTTTGGTGGTTTTGATATGTGGGAAGAGAGAGAAGTGGGAAAGTTTGATTCTTTTGATTATGAAAGAAAAATAAGGAGGGAAACTTTTGACTTTTCAACTTTTTGTAGAAGGAAAGAAGAGGGTAATTTGGTTCTTTCAATTTTATGTAAGAGAAAGAGGACGGAAGATTGAGTTTTTCTAATGTATGGAAGGAGCAAGAAGGAGGGAAATTTTAGTATTTTTGTGAAAAGAAAGAAAGAAACAAATTTGGTGTTTTCAATTTTTTGGTTTTTCATAATTTTAGCTTTTGAAATATGAATCTTTAACTTTTATACGGAGGGCATGACTAGTTAAAATTATTCTTATATGCTTTGAAGGCTAATATGTATATATGTATGTAATTTTTTATGGGCTAATAAATAAATTAACCATTAGTTACAACCATTTATACTAAACTTGATAAGTAATCTTTGACGGTTCGTTGTTTAGGATATAAAGTATATGGTTAGGGTATAAGGTATAAGGTACATATGGTTTAGGGTGTATATGGTTAGGGTATAAGATATTGATGGTTTTGACGGTTTTAAGTTTTTTATTAACATATGTTCACTTGAAATCATTTGAAGTCTTTAACGGCAGGAGATCCCTTTTTAATTTATGTTTATGGTACGTGGTTAGGGTACAAGGTATGTGGTGTAAAGTATAGAATATATGGTTAGGGTATAACAATTAGCAAATATCACTTTTTATCTATGTTTTGAAAATCAAAGTATGAATTTCACTTTTAAATTAACTATACTAGCAAAATCACAACTCAATGACATATGGTTAGGGTATAGGTTATGTGGTTAGTGTATAATGTATTGATGGTTTAGGGTATACAATCAACAACATATACTAACTTAATATTGTTGATTGAGGTAAAGCTAAGTGTATAGGATATATGCTATTGAGTAAGTTATGATTGAAGTCACAATAATTTTACTAAATTTGATAGCTAATCTTTAATGGTTCAATTTTTAGGATAATTTGAACAATTTTACAAATAACTCGTTTAGCAACAGTTTACTAAAGTTATTTGGGCAATGAGTTATTTTGAAATAACTCCTTTTATCACTATGTTTTTGCCAAATACCACACGCCAAATACCAGATTTGCATGGTTATACTAAACGAGATACTTTAATCCAATTACTACTGAATTAATACTAAAATATCAAATAAACAATTAACGGTGTCTTTTGGTTGCAAATATTGATATCACCATTACTATTAGCTATAATACTTTACCAATTATGATTAATTACATAACAAGTTTGCAAGTCATACAAATTGATTTAACATTTTGACTAGTTTTTTTCAAAAAAATAAAGTATATATATACGAGGTAGAAATAAATTGGTTAAAAAGTTGAGAAAATATTTTAAATTAGTGTAATAAAATGTGTAAGTTGGTAATGAGTAATGAGTTAAGTTACTTAATGCGTTGGCCCGAACAACCCGAAACCCGACCCGCCCGCAACCCACCCGACCCAAAACTCGATGAACCCGCAACCCGATTTGCCCGCAACCCGATTGAATCCGAACCCGATGAACCCGCAACCTGACTAACCCGCAACCCGTTTGAACCCGAATCCGATGAACCCGAACCCGATGAACCCGCAACCCGATAAACCCGCAACCCGTTTGAATCAGAACCCGATTGAACCCAGCCCGAACCCGCCCGAACCCGCCCGAACCCGCCCGATTGACACCTATAATATTTTTAATGGGTTGGTGGATTGGATTGAGAATTGCCACCTCTACTTACCGGTCATTTGACGGTGAATTGCACTCACCACGAGATGGCGGGTCTAATGTTTGTGAGGAACTATAGTGGGACTGTCAAAATGATGAAAACAGCCGTAAACCTCAACTTAGTTGATGAGAGTATCTACGTCTATGTCAATTTCGTTATGGTGCACATAGCGAAATTTACGTGGACGTCCACAAAGAGTAGGAAGGAAGTCAGGTCGCTCAAACTGCCAGTGGAGGGCAAGGATTGATCGGGTGCGGGACAGACTGGAGGAAGGAGTGAAGTTGCCAAAGAGAGGGTGGGAAGCCAAGCTCAAGGGAAATGGGTGGGGTCTAGGCAATTTGAGGGTTGTTTTGGGGGATTTTGTAAAAGGAATCGAATTGGCAATTTAGGGTTGAGGCCGCAGAATTGGGGAAGAGAAGAGTTTGAGAAAAAGGAAGGAAATGCTCGAAGAAGACAGACAAACAAGCTGTTTTTTTTCCCCTGTCTTGCTACTTCTGTGTGCTCAAGAAGGCAAGGCCCACTTACAACTAAAACTAAAATAAGAGTCTAACCACAAAGGTTTGAAATAATTTAAATGATAGCAAGCCCAGTGTACTCTTGAGAACCCAGCCTGTTGTTTACCCTTCTTCTTCCTACGAATGTTCTACAGAAAACAGAGTGATTTCGAGAACAGAGAAGTACAACAGAAGAAAATTGCAGGAAAGGAAATAGCAGAAAGGTAAAGAGACATGATTTTTTTAATGCAGGAAAGGAAATAGCAGAAAGGTAAAGAGACATGATTTTTTTAATGTGGTTCACCCTGGTGCAATGGTACGTCCACATCCCAGATATCAACATCTGCTGTCTCCAGGAGAGTTTATTTGAGAAGGAAGAAAGAATACTGGACACCTAAAACAGAGCAGGCGTGATTCCAAACCCATAATCACCCAAATTTCCTTGCAACCTAGTATGTTCAGAACCTATATCCCTGACACAGACAAGCCCTTTGATCCCAAAAGCCCTATACCGCTTTTTTACTTAGCCTGATCAAAGTTCCTTCATTACAAAGAACCAGAATCCTTTAAATAGACACAACAGGAAGACCGTTGGAAGACTTTCCTCTTATTTTGGTAATTGGCACCAAATTCGGATTGTAAACGTTGGAGGCTGATTCCTCGACAACTAGAACTTTTCATAAGTGAACATTCTCCAACTTCTTCCAACCGATTTTTTGCCAAAATAACTCCCAAAAATTAGCTCACATTTAATACTCACCTACCAACTTCTCTCTCCTCAAACTTCTTCCTCATCTTTTCTCTTCGTCCTCCATTGAAGAGCAAAAGCAAGAACACCAGAAATTCGAAGAAAGAGGATTTAGGGTTACAATATGGGTCTCAAATGCAAGGTTTGTTCTTCAAAGAGAAGAAAAAGATACAAGAGGAAGAAAGTATGTCAAAGATGGGAGATGCACCAAAAGAGTTCGACCTTGAAGATAAAGGGGCCGAGGTCGAATGAGATGCAGCAGAACAAGAAGAGGTCGACCTTGTTGATACCATCCTCCAGGCGCCATCTGGGTCTCGCAAGATTGGATGACTGATGTTGATGAAATAGAAGGTGTATGTGAATATCACAAAATCATATTCATGTACACTTACAAGAAAAAGGCGACTCTGCAGCACAAGCCACCGCGATTTCCACACTGAAATGAAGTAGTAATTTTCTATGCTGCAAATCGGTGGTCCTTCTAAAGCCTTTCGATCTTTGGATTTCTTTCTTCCAAGTTGTATGCCTTAAGCAAGGAACGACGGCTCTTAGCCGCCATTAAACAGTCTGGATTTGGCTGAAAATGGCGTTATTGCCGGAAACCTCCCGCGGCTGGGAGAGTATAACTTATCTAATTTATTTGATAAACAAAAGCGGTCGTCCTTACGTGGAATCTGACCCTAGTGGTGGTGGCGGCGAGGAAGAGACTATTGAGG